GCCTGGGCTAATGAAGAATTCAGTCGATTGGAGACAGATCTTCAAGAAGGTGATGGGGTGGTTGCTTTGGTCTATGACCTGGACTGTGAGAACCAGAAGATTGAAGAGTTGACCTACGACCAAGAGGTATCTTGCCGGAAGATGGAGGCTCAGGCATCTCGAGTCGCGGAAGAAGAGGAGGAGGTCTTTCTACAAACCCGGACCGTGAGTCTTCAGGAGGTGCGGAAGTCTCTACACCTTTGGATTCCACCCCTTCAGACGGAGATTGACAACTTCGATAACAACCATGCCATCGAGCGAATTGATGAGGACACTACCCACAAGATCATGGAAGAGGCCCGAAAGAATGGTCAGAGGGCAGAGCTGATTCCTGGGATGGGTGTTTTCACAAGGAAAGCGGGGGATGGAAGTGTGCTGTGGAAACTACATGGAGGCCCGGGAGGGCGATGAGGTCTACGCCACGGGTGCTGACTCGACCCAATTGAGAACCATCCTCCGTCTGGCTGCCCTTCGTGAGTGGGAATGCTTGTCTCTGGATGTGAAATCAGCTTTTTTACTGGCTCCAAAGGCACAGGGTGAAACAGTCATCGTTCGACCACCCAAGATATTGGAGGAGGCAGGCTTGATGAAGCCTGGCGAACACTGGCTGGTCACATCAGCGATGTATGGCCTGGTCACTTCCCCAAAGGACTGGAGTTCTTTCCGAGACACTGAGCTGCAGAAGATGACGGGCATTGTCTCTGGCATGGGAGAAGGAGGAGAGCAACGAGAGATCAGCTTTTCCCTCAGGCCGATGGAAGATCCGAACCTGTGGGCCATCCAAGAGGTTGTCAGGGTGAAAGAGGACGGCTCGAAGGTCTGGGGGCAGATTCTTGGGCGTATGATTGTCTACGTAGATGATGTCCTTATGGTGGGTCCACGAGCTGTCACCGAAGCGACCTCGAAAACCATCAAGAAGGTGTGGTCTACTTCTGAGCCGGAGTATGCGGAGGTGGGTGGCACACCGACGAGGTTTCTGGGCATTGAGATCCAACGGTTGAAAGGAGGCTCCTACTTTTTGCAGCAGGAGTGCTATGCCAAGGAGGTCATGGACCGTCACCCAGGGGAGCGCCTTCGCCGTTCATTCGGGTCCCAGAAGAAAGGCCTGATGATGAGGCGGTCTCCTTGCCCAAGGTCCGTGAAGCTCAGAAGATCACAGGGGAACTATTGTGGCTGTCTGGCAAAACACGTCCAGACATTTCCTGGGCGGTGATGAAGATGGCTCAGAATGCCATGAAGAAGCCAAGATGGACCATTGAGCTGGGAAGGGCTGTGGTGGCCTACTTGAGGTTCTCTCCATGCTTCGGCCTTCACTACACGATTGAGGTTCCCACGGACGTCGATCCAGACCTTCAGCGTTCGCGTCCAAGGCGTGCGGGCACACTTGAAGTGCTGGTTGATGCTTCTTTTTCTCCGGGTGATAGTCACAGTATATCCGGAACCATCATTTTGCTCGCAGGGTGCCCGGTGCAGTGGGAGAGTAGAAAGCAATCGTTGATGGCTCTTTCCACAGCCGAGTCTGAACTTACTGCTCTGGTCGAGGGTTTGCAGACAGGAAGATCGGTGAGGGCGTTGGTGCAGTTGCTTCTTTCCGAGGTAGAGGTTGAGCTCTTCAATGACAATCGAGCTGCAGTGGTGTTAGCTTCCGGTTCCGGAGGCGGCTGGAGAACACGCCATCTACGGATCCGAGCCCGATGCATTGCTGAAGCGTTGAAGCAGGGAGAGGTGACTTTGAATCACAGATGTGGATCACACTTGTGGGCAGATGCACTGACCAAGCCTCTCCCATCGCAATCGCTGAGCAGGTTCTGCCGGGGCGTATGGTTGGGAAGTTCCATCTTGAACTCGGAGGACCAGGGGGGAGCTCGAGAAATCCATGTGGTTGAGACCGATGCGAGCATCAAGGTGATGAAGTCGATTTCACTTTTGGCGGCGGGTGCAGCTTTGCTTCCAACTGTTCACGCTGCTGAGTCGTGTGAGATAAAGGAGACCAGGGGGGGCTCAGAAACTGGCATGTGGGCAGAACAAGGATGGCTTGTGATGTTGGCTGGTGTGCCTCCTCCATTTCATCAAGGATGTGGGGTGGGAAGCGGCAAAACGGCTCTGTGGAAAAAGGGAGCAGCTGAAAGTGAGGATCCTAGATGATCAAGCTGTGGTGCCTTCAAGAATGTCTTCGGGGGCGGCCGGTTGGGATTTGTCAGCTCTTTGTGCGGTGGAAGTCGCACCCGGTGATCGAAAGCTGGTTCCCTTGGGCTTGGCGCTGGAACTACCCTACGGCTGCTATGGCAGAATTGCTCCAAGGAGCTCACTAGCTGTGAGAGGCATCGATGTGGCAGGGGGTGTGATCGACTCCGACTATCGGGGAGAGGTGAAAGTCATCCTGGTTAACCATGGCCAAGAGGCGCTAAGGATTGATCCTGGTGACCGAATTGCACAGCTCATCCTGGAAAGATGTGCCAAAGTTGATCTTGTGACCACTACCGCTCTTGCCGGAACTCAGCGGGGTGATGGAGGATTTGGAAGCACTGGAGTAGCGGCAAGGCGAATCATGGGTGCTCCGAGTGATTTGCCTGGATCTTCGGCCACTGAAGCTTCTCGGGGAGGCGGAGGACAGGGGTCGGAAGCTGTGCAGGTCATGCCCACCCATGTGTTCTTCGAGGGGGTCCACTTTGCTCGTTCAGGGGAGTCCATGGTGGAGTTTGTTCAAAGGCTGAGGCAGAATGATCTTCATGAATTTCAGTGGATGTTTCCTGATGTCTTGTTTGAGCACTTGCAACCTGATCGCCTCCATGGTTCATCGCGAACCTACCTCCGGGAGATTGGGCAGGGCACGATGCGGATTCAGGTCCACATGCATCCTGAATGGAGAAAGAAGCTTTATGACTCGGAAGCTTTTGCACCAGCTCCAGAAGATGGTCTCACAGGAGGCGTAGTTTCCTTGGGCTGGATGCAAAATGGAGGGATGTTTGCGAGAGTGGATAACCGCAGAGGGAGCAGATCCATGTGCTACCTCAAGGAAGCATGGAAAGGAGTGAGCCTCTTTTTCTCGTGGAACCGTCCACGAGGAGGAACCTAGCCAAGCCGAGAATGAAGTGACCTATGGTGACTTGCTGAGGGAGCCGGGAGTTTTTGTGCAGTGTATTTTCCATGTGTGGTCTGCCCCATTCGAAGGGGAATGGTCGGGAGGCCAATTGAATGTTTGTGATGAATAGTTGGTGAACTTGGCTTAGCGTCATCCTATGGATTCAGTACAGAGGGCTTGAGCTTGGCAGCTTTTGAAGGGTGGGCACACATACCCCGGGCCTAACACGGTCAGGAGGGGGGAGCATTTTGTGTGCCACACCATGTTTACTTGAAGGTTCATGAGAAGAGATCATGATGAAGCATGGGCATTTTCACGAAGCCCTTTGTTTGCTTAGAAGTGAAAAGAGGTGAGGTAGCTTCTTTTGTGAAATTATAACGCAGTTGATGGGGTAGCTAGATTATTTTCAAGCTTTCCTCCATCCTGCTCGATTGAATTGTGGCCACAAGTCAATCAACCTATGGCGCGAGTCTTTAGATATTAATTTCAGAAATCCTGCGCAGGCCGGTACCCCTGGGCACCCCCCATGTGGCGTGTCGCTGGTGAGCAGGGTGAGTGGTGGTGTCATGTCACATGGTTGCGTCTAGTCTGTGGCGCAACGCGCTTTCCACCCAAGCCCGCGCCAAACCACCAGTGACTTTAGAGACGTAATTGCGAGGGTCTCGTACGAGACTTCCAAAAGTCACACGTCAAGTCTCCAAAACGAACGTTTTGCGCGAGACTTCCTCCCAAATCAGGTGTCGTGCAAAGCTATGAGGGTTTCGTGCGAGACCCTCCACTTCCTCCAAAAGTCACGAGCCAAGCCTCCAAAACAAGCTTAAGACTTCCTCCAACAATCCCGCGTCAAAGCGACGCTCAAAACTCCAGCCGCCGACCCGCCAGCCCCAATGGCACAGCGATACTCACCTCCACCAAACGTCACAACCTCGCGATTCCCACAAAAATTCAACCTCCAACGCGCACAAAGCACTGTGAAAAGTGACCACGTGACATCTTCATGCCTTCAGCAATTCGCAAAAACACAGCTTCGAGGCAAGAGCCAGAAATCCCAAAGGCACAGCGACGTCCAACACCTCCAAAACACACGCTGCGAATGCCAATCGCGATGGCATGCCTCACAAAACGCTGCGAGACATGTTTGCGCACTGTTTCACACGAACCGTTCACTTCTCCATCCATTGAAGAACTCTTCCAAACACTTTCCCCAACGTCAGAAATTTTCGACCCGCAGCGTACAGATCCGACAGAGCGGGGATACGAAACCACGAAACCACGCGAGGCGAACACAGGTTCGAACCGCAGACCCCTAGACTATAAACGGGAACCCTTGGCATCCCTTGGCTACACATTTTGGAAAAACACCACGAAGCGCCGGCTGCTATGGAACCAAACAGGACAGCTTATCGCTCACTCCCTGACATTTTGAGATGGGGGGTACCTTGATTAAATATTCCAGGTCATACCGTGAGTTCACAGAATATTTTTTCTGGAATAATTTTACAGGAATATTTATGGCTGGAGGTATGTGATACTGATACTGGAGACAAACCCCAGAATATTTTTTGTATGAAGAACATGTTGGAGGAGTGATGAAAGATGGGCAATCCTGAGAAGGCAGGTGGAACTAAACCCAGAATAATTATTTCAAAGAACTAGAACTAAACCCTGTTTGTGAGAAGGAGGGTGGAACTAAACCCAGAATAATTAAATAAAAAAACTAGAATTTTTCTGGAATATTAAATTCCTACAACTATTCCACTAACTGGTCAGTTCACAGAATATTTTTTCAGATATAGCTGGAAGTATATAGGAATATTTTAAAAATATTCTGCCAGGTCTCGACGTGGGTAGGTATCTAAGGCACCCGCCATATTTTGAGGCGCGATTGTGGAACTTCCTCTGTGGAGTGCTGGCAGTGTTGTGTTGTTGCTCCTGCTGCCCTCGGCCAAAGCGCCGTCGCCTTGTGCCTTTGCATTGGCAGCCTTCATTGGTTCCGCTCTGCGCTGTGCCCTGGGCAAAAACAACATACATGTTACATCATAGTATTGACATGGAAGACGTGATTCAATGAGCTTGACGAGGACAAAGCAAGAAACACACGTGGTCCACAAACCACTTATTCCAACCGTGGTCACGGCAGAATCTTTTGTTGGAATCATGTGCACCCTAGCAACAATATGAGAGGGTGTCAGAAACCGCATAATGGGTCTTTGGAATTACAACATGTTGATACATTTTGATGATCCCTGCTTGAAATATGTTTTGTGCTTGAACTCACCCGCCCTCGGAAGTCAAACCGTCGCTTTGGACGTGCTGTTTTCGGTCGCTGGGAAAAAGAAACACATGTTCGACGGGCGATCAATTGCCATGGTCATGGTCAATCATTTCAGCTTGGCCAACCAGGTTTCAAGAAAATAGGTCATGTCTACCCTAGCGTGGAATATAGATTCCAGCAGGGTGAACACGGGTCGGAATAATTATTAGTAAATATGTAAAAAATAGCCAGCATTTCTACAACATATTCAATCTGCGGCGCCGACTGCACATATAGCTAAAGTGGCACCCATCAAGAAACAAAACCGACCTTGAATTTATCATGAACAAGGTGTCCCCGCAACCATATCGCGAATCCTATCCAGCTTAGGTTTTGGTGCTGCTGCTCACGGCTTGGAGTGTGTGCTACTATACGTTTTTCTTCTCATCTTCGATTTATATGAATCTGAGCAGCGAAGAAGAGATGTTTAAGAGAGTTGCTTGCTTCTGAAGCCTTGTTTGCCTCCGGTTCCCGCAAGGTATGAGGTCTCACGAACCGATACTCCTCAGTTGGAGACTGTGATTCCTCCAGATGAACGCGCTGAAGTCACTGCAGCCAACAGTGACGGTCCTCTTGAAGCCCGCTTGATTTTGGTGTAGCCTGGCTTTAGTGTTATTTAAGGCCCTGCGGCGCTGCGGTGCTGGTGGTAGGAGTCGTTAGTGTTGGTGTTGTTGTTGTTGTGGTGGTGTCGGGCGTAGGGCGCCCGGGCAGCACCTAGAAAACTTTTGAGTCCTCCACCGCTCGAGGTGTGGCAGGGTTCGACGGCCGCCTCTCGCAGGCCAATGTTGCTGCTGAAAACTAGAGTCCTCCGGCCCTCCACTCGAGGTGTGGCGCGCAACCCATGTTGTTCTGCGCCCAAATGTTTGCCTGAGGGTAGCCTCCAAAGATGTCTCACTACCACGCTGCCTTGTAGATATATAATATAGTGTATTGGGCCTTGTAGATCCTTGCAATGCATACTGTGCGGCTCCTGAAGGAGGCTGTGTGTGGATTGCTGTTCTCGCTGCCTTGAGGCAAACCCTAACCACACCTGATCATTTCAGATTCTTTCATTCATTTACGACCTGTGTCTTTGTGGACGCCGGATGTTTCTTCCTGGGGAAGGTTTGTTTCTCCTTCACATTTGTCCATTTGAAGGTCATTGGTGAGCTTTCGAATCCTGAAGGTTTTGATTTCTTGACATGTTGAATCCTTGCGGGCTCGATGGAATAGTTATTGAATCCTTGTGGCTTCAAACAACGCCTCTGCTACAGAAATACATTAATTTCACGGATAATTTCACATAATTTCACCGACTTTAATCGCACCCTGCTCTACGTCATTCTCAGCACGATGATATTTTGAACCGCTACTTTTTTAGCCCACTACTGAACAATCTTTGCTGCATTTTGCTACACTTTCCGTAGGCCTTTGGTTTTGGTGATTTGGCCTTTGCCCTAGTACTTCACTATCCAAACCATGTCAGCGCGGGGCAACCGCGCGCCTCGTCGTCGCACATATCACGCTGATCATTTTCATCATCCACCTGGTACTTGGGAAGGGGCGTCTCCAAGAAGGTTCAGACCCCGATCCCGCGCCTTGAGGCATCCCTCAGCGCATCCCAACCCTCGACAATTGTGATTGTCGAATTTGTCGATATGGGTACGAACCAGTTTGCTGACTTTGCACTTGAGTGCATGAAGGCTTGGAAACCTGATGCTCTTGAGTGAGAGTATCTGGCATCAGTAACAACATTCGAAGCGAAACAGATTTAAAAAAAGCACATGTGCCATCGAATCAATGAACTTCGACAAGAACGGTGTGTCCTTTTGAGTTCTCCCTCACAGCGCCACTGGGAAGACGAAAGCTGGACCATGACACCAAAGTCACGTGAAACATGTGGAAGATTTTGGGAACTCTTCAGGTTCATCCCTCTTGCTCCCAACAATCCCGTGGAAATGGAAGGCAACCATCGAATACCTCACCTGTCCAGGGCGTCGCACGATGCATTGATGCATCAACCCGCCCAACCCAGCAAACCCTGGCTGAGAAACCCTAGCTTCCAGCATCACCGGTGTCACACAAACATCGTCCTCGTGGTTCTGGCTCTGGATCTCCAAGACATCACGCCTTGGAAGGTTTGAACATGATGGCTCGCACACCACAAGTGGTTCTACTGTCCAGGACTTTGCAGAATCTGTTCGTAAGCGTGTTGAGGTTGACATTGGCAAGCTCACAGCTCAAACCATTGAAATCTCGAAAGTGATCAAGTTCGCCCTCAAGATGAAACCAGGACAAGCCTTGGCAAGCCTCCCTGACATGTCTGCCACGGGCCATGGGTGATGTTTACCAAGCCATGCACTTTCGAGGTATACTTGCGACAATTCAATCGACCCCTCGAATCTGTGAGCAAAGCACCTCAATGATCTCTACCAGGCCCTCAATGACAACCGCGCCAAGGATGATGCACTTCCGACTCTGTTGGCTCGTCTGACATGATGAAGAGCCTGCGTGACTAGAGAACGAGGGTAGCGCTGCTGTCACACAGTTTGTCAGCGCTACATGCCCTCGCAATTTTGTATTTCTTAATGTTGAAATCCACCACCAACCGACACACAGGTCTGCAAATTTTGATGCGAGTTTCTGGAAAATGCTCCAGTCTAAGTCTGGCAGGCGCTCTAGATCTCTCATTTCCTGGCTTTGCTCTCACCCATGGGAACATGGTTGGGAGAAATAATGGTACAATTCTGTATATTTTGTCACTCTAATGTCTCCTGTGTTCGGCGCTTTTGGCCCTTTTGGCGTATGTCGGTGAAACTGATAACATGCACCGCCGGGCGAATGAACATGCAATCTACAAGCCATCCATGGAGCCACGCAACAACCCTTTTTTGAAATGATTCGCGCAGGCTCGATGCGCCCAGCGCTTTCCATGAATTCAAAGGATTGGCGTTTTGACTCCACCACGTGTATACCGCTTGCATGCCTATCCGCGTCCATCAGCAATTTAGACCGGTCAAGTGACTACGACTACGGCTTTGGCCTCACGAGGAAAAACCATCACATCCACCTCGACAGGAGCGAGCGAAGGACAAGCGGAGAAAAACGCAAATGCAACTGGTTGCTTCTGATTCTGCACTCGCTGGTCACAAGATTCCGCATGCAAGTGAGTATAAATGAGTACTGTCTTCAAGCCGCATCCTGCAGAATTGCCCTACTCGTTCCGACTTACTTCCACCAATTTTGCGCATCGACTGTCAGCTGCCCTGGACTGGTACCTTGCATGGTCGGCAGATCGCCCTCCAAGCAGTCCGCACACTGCTTCAACATTGGTGTGCTTAGGGACATTGGGTACCAGTACTCCGACACGCTCGGCTAGCTTTCAGCTGGCGCCGGACACCTTCTTTGTTTGATACTTTGAGTCCTGTCAAAGCAGTTATACCGACATTGTTGCGAACAGAGCCGCAGAGGATCGTTGTTACGCCATCTTTGTCAGATCTGATGAATGGTGGACAACCCCACCATTGATGGTGTGTGGCACATCGCCGCCCCACAGTCCCGCATTCCATCAGTGACTTGAGTCACTTTGCCAACACCCCTGCATGCATGCTGCATCACTATGCCTCCTTGACGTGCAGACATCTTCGCAGCATTGCGCGAGTCTTTAAGTAAATTGCGAATAATTGCGATCTCGTTGCAGGATGCATGATTTTGACATGTTTTTCGAGGACATCACGGCTGAGACCTGCCAAGAACTGCCGACCCTTCTGGATAAGCGCAGCAACAGCCACCCCGTTGAGTGGAGCGAAATCACACGAGCAAAAGGATTCCTGCAGGGGTTGTATGCACAACATGTTGACCACGACAACTCTTCAACTACTGGAGCTTTTTGTCCCGCTCTAGTTCAGCAATTTGCTCACAAACTTCTGGATTTGGGGGTTCATGCAACAGGCACGAAATTTACTTGGACTATCTTGGACTATATTACGGAGGAGGACAGCTCCACAGTCAAGCAGATCATTCAACGTCGTTCAACAGTTGGCTTCGGCCACATCATTGCCTCTCGACCTGAGACCGGTTTCCATGAGTTGCAAGTAAGCCAAGGAATGGGCACTGGACATGCCACGCCTCCTGCCCAAGTGGAGAGGTCCAGGAGTGAAGCGGCGACTCGTAATTGACAAATGCCGCACTCCAACGAACCGCATCCATAGTCTGGCATGCAGAGCCATCGACGCTACTCTATGCCGAGACCTTGGTGGTCGGACTGCAATGTGGTGACCTTGAGCAACAATTTCAATGATCATTTTTGAGCGCTCTTTGCCAACAACTTTGATTGTCTCACTGCATCCGCCGACATGCAGGATTGTTTTTACCATTTAGCCCGTGGGCTTGCCCCTGGCATCTGGAGGAATTTAATCGCCTATTGGAATTCCTATGGGACTTCGTATGTGAGCATTCCGTTTCGGACTGCGTCTGTTCCATGCCCATTTTCGTACGTCGTCCCTGCTGAGACTGGAGGTCAAAGACCAAGTGCAAAAAAGCCGAGTGTCGTCACGGAAGGCACATCAAAGACGAGCAACTCCTCACCTTGAAGTGAAGCACGCTTAGAGGTTCCTCCATCCAGCGGGGTTAGAGTAGTGCGGCCGGGGGTCAACACTTCATGGGAGTGTTTGAACAGCTGCAAGATGGCAGAAGACATGGCATCGCCCATGGGTGCTCTGTTCCTCACGACCGATGAACCCAGGTAAAAGGACATAGTTGGCGGCGGTAAGGAAATTCTCTAGGATGCGTCCCACATCGTCGAAGGACAACGCAATACCCAGGTAGGTCATTTTTGCCATCCTTGAAGCCCCATATCTTACGAACGCCGTGAATATTGAAGATTCCGACGTTGACAGTTTCTTGGGACTCGTAAGTCGACTTGGGAACCAATCGGTCTGTCATTGTCGCCTTCATTTCCTGACCCTTGGACAGCGGTTGTATAGAGATCCCACAATGCCCCGGTCATAAAACCCTGGCATAGTTGGGCTCCAGGCGCTCAGAAGAAGGCTGTCATTTTTGGTTTTTTGTGCCGCTGCTACCAGTCGAACAACTCTGCTGTCTGTAGCACCGCGGTTTTGAAGCCGGGCCATACTGCTTCTAATTTATCGGGCAAATTCTTCCTCCGGAGTAGTTTACTCCTGCGTCCGCAAGTGGGCCAAAACATGGAAGCCCCATGGGTCCTTGGAACATCCCGGAGGGCCCCTAGTTCAATCTGCACTCAAACAGGCTCATCAGTTTGAAAAATGCGTGTTCGCCAAAGATGTCTCACTAGCACGATGCCTTGTAGATACTAAGTCGTATATAGTGTATTGGGTTTTTAGCTTGCAGTGCATTCCGTGCTGCTCCTAACATGTTCATCCTGTCCCACCTTCACCGCCTGCACATTTCGCCCCCAGCACTTTAATTAACCTTCCAATGATACCTGCGCCCGGGCTCACACACACAGTGCAGGTGGAGGAAACTGTGTGTGGAGTGCTGTTTTCGTTGCCTTGAGGCACTTTTTAATCGCATCTAATCATTTCAGATTGTATGATTCAGACACCGTCATGCTATTCCCACTGCCCTTGCGAGCCTCACCTTCTTCTGGCGCCCTACCCCTTCCTCGGCTGGGGTAGGCGGATTTTGTGCCCAACACCAATGTTCAGTTGTGTGTGGTTTTTGACTAAGGCCAGAAATGCAGAGATATTTGCTGCTTCTAGTGCTGAGTTGGTTGATGAACTTTCTCATCGTTGAGCCATTGCTTTTGGTGCTGCATTTGTTCGTGGGTGAGCCAGCTGTTGCTGACGCTTGGGTGATTGGATTGTTGAATACCTAAAGGCATTGAATCTGTTACGAGTTGAGATTAATAATGATTGTTTGGCCTTAGAGGAATGTTGCATCAGTTGGTTGGCAGTGCTTGTGGTTAGTACTGTATGTTCTTGCACATTCTTGCACAACTTGCATGAACCGTACTTTGGTCTTGCTTGAGATGACATGTTCCCAGGACGTGGCTGGTTTTACATGGAACGTGCTGAGCGTGCCAGTTAGATGGTTCTGGTGGCTCTTCGGTTCCTCGTCCACGTTAGGCGTTTATGGTCAAGTCAACACCATTGAAGGCGCGTACAACGAATCCAAGGGTCAGCTCTCACATGCTCTCACATATGTTTTCATTCGTCGTCAAAAGCGTTGCCAAGGTTTGTGCTTCCCTCAGCAATGCCAGCACCAGGCTGGAAACCCGTCCTTGATGTACGAGCTCCGTGAAGGGGCAGTTCCACGGAGTTTCTTCCACATGATTCCACATGTTGTTTCTTGCAGTCTTTCAGTTTCCCTTCACGCGCTTTGTGCAAAAGGCTTGGCGCTTCGGGAAGGAGGTGACCGATGCACTACAGTTTCGAACTGAGTGATTGGTGAGTTGTGCATTCCAGTTGCGAACTGCCGGCACATCAAGACCTGCTAACTAATTGTGTTTTAAAGCCGGTGGAGTCTTATCTCCGGAATCTTCACTCTCCTTGATTCTTCGGTCCTTCTTCTTTCGCAGGAGGTGTACAAATTCCATCGGTCTCGCAGTTGCATCTTGGACAACTGACAATTGTTTTCTGAGTCGCAAGCCTCGGTGCGCTTCGCGAACTTTGTTTTGGAAAGTGTGCAGATTCGAGAAGCTAGCAGGGCTAGCTAACCGTGAAGCTAGCAGGGCTAGCAATGGCTAGCAGTTCTGCTTTCTGCGACTCAGGCAAAGCTGAAGGATAGGTGCACTTGTTGCAGATCCAGTGCTGTGGTGCCTCGTATAAGGTGTCCATGTGCTTCCGTGTGAAGACTGAGGTATTATTGTTTTGTGCCATGCAGCCCACGAAACGATAGAGGTGCCACATGCAAGCCTATCTCTCCGAGGCACCACTGTCGCCGGAAGACCTACAAGAAACCATCGAATCAGAAGGTGAAGAAGAGCGAGCAGGGCCAAAGGAAGGGAAGGAAGAGAAGGCTGCAGAACTTTGACACTCTGTTGCACTTAAGCGTGTTCAGCATGTGGCCACACGTGAGGAAATGCATCAGAAAAAAAGTGCGAAGAAGAGGAGTGTGTGTGTGTATTTGCACTGTGGTGAGATATGGCTGAAAGCAACGGTCCACTGACTGCAGGAGACCAAAGTCTTGATTTGTCCGCACATGGGCGTGAGACTGGTGCGTCACAAGCCTGTTTTGAGTGATTACAGTAATCCTTAAAACTATGTAACTATGTTGTTTGAAATTCAAGTGCTTTATATACTGTACAAAACTCTGTTCAATGTTCAACATGTTCTTGACAACCTGGCAACACGGCTCTTGTCCGTTGTCCATTTTTGTACGGCATCAACAGGCCAAAGTTTAAGACCAATAACAAACCCATGTTCGGACCTTTGATTTGCCCAAGTTTCACGAGTCTCAGAGTTCAGGCAAAGTCTGAATTCATCCGCAAAGCGGGGAGATCTCATAGTAGAGCCAAAGATACTCAATCAATACAGAAACAAAAGGAGAACTTGATTCGGTGCTGTTTCCATACCGGCTAGATAGTATGTTTAGACTGTCAAAGAATCAATGCCACAAAAAGAGGACAGCAAAGTCTCAAGGGATCATTGTTCAATGCACTTTGATGTTTTGCCAGATGCGACTAGATGTGTATGAGGTTTTAGCATCACAAGAAGTTTTTACAAGTTTCAGGCAAGTTACACAGCTACACATAGAACTCAGGTCCAATCAGGTTTATAGATGCGTTCACAGCGCTGGTGCGTTGGGTGATACATTTGCACACACACACACAGCATGGGTAGAGAACGGGTGTAGAAAGCAGAGAGTCAACCTTGGCATCAACCCCACCTTCCTGGCTCACACAAACTTGAGTCACAGAACGTCTTGTCTCATATACAAGATCAGATCTATAAAAAGTACATACTCCAGTCATCTAGGCTATCAGCCTTTTCGTATATTGCCTCAAGTTGCCTCAGTTTGCAGTGAGCGAATTTCATCTCTCAGACCTGGCCCAGTTCATGGCTAGGACCCAGCCTGCCGCCTAATTGAAATGATTCAATGGGGTGTTGTCGCGTTCGATTTGGAGTCTGGCCAAGGTCATTGACGCGTCTGGAGGATGGTAGGCAAGGTAAAGATGTCGGTAGAAGATGACCAACGTCATGGTCGTTTTAATTGAAACGTCTAGTATATCAGGCATTTGAGATCGCTCCGAACGGCAAGCTGTGGAGCCCTACCACGCCAAGGGCTTGGCTGATCTTGTAGTGTTATATACAGTGCTTTAGGCAATTCTAGTAGCGATGCCCTTCTTACTAGTAGCGATGCCAGGAGATACTAGTAGCTTCTTGCTACTACTAGCAATGGCCTCCAACCTAATAGCGATGGCCTCCACAAAAAGACTACCGCAAGATAGCGTAAGACTTCGTAAGGCTTAAGACTCACCTGTGAATGCAAGGCAAGCGAGATCTTGGGAAGCGACCTGACCATGGCATATGGCCAGTAGGTTCACAAGGACAACTCAGAATGCTGAAGCTTAGTTGGAGCTCTTTCTGCAAAAGCATGAACTATGACAGACTAGCAACAACCAGCGAATCCGGAACAGAAGTGCCTTGAGATGTCGCTTCATTATGTCGTCTTGTTGTTCTTGGATTCTGGGATGTTGCATGAACTTTTTTCCATGACAGTATGGACACACTGCAAGAGATAATGCTGGGTTTGATCCAGTGTGCTCACATCCGTGGAAGTGCATTTCGACTGGAGGCTCAAGCAAACTGCCTCTCCGGAGCCGGCGCTTTCCTCCACTGCGCTCTGGTCGTGGTGCCGTGCACATTTTCGGGCTTGGTGGTCACTTTTCGTGGCAGGCGCAAGGGAACCCTCGTGTTTTGGTGGTCTGAAGTTGACTTCTCGTGGCAAGCGCAAGAGATCAGAGCCACTTTACTTTGATGTGCAGATTCATGGTAGTAGTCCTTGGTGTGTTCTGGCTTCGTGTGCAGTGAACAGTAAATTTTTGGACATGTGGCTCGTTTCTGGGCTTCTGTGCGAAAGCCTTTTTTTGGACGCTCGAATGGTTTTTCCCGAAAGCATTGCGAAGGGTTCTTCCGGAAAGTCCCTTGAACACTGACACTTCGACACTTACACTTAGACACTGACACTTCCACCACATTCGCAGTACATACACTGACACTTCGACATGGACACTTACACATACACAGTGACACTCGGCAAGCACGCAGTGTAAGTATACAAGTGATGGGTACGCAAGCATGCTTTGAGCATGCAAGCATGCAATGAGTAGGCAAGTGTGAGTATGGAAAACTAGCACGGGAGATGTCCTAATGAAAAAACATTTCCCCACTTTATAAATTCTCTCTTAAAGGCGGAGGGCGGGACGAACAGCGTCAACCGAAAGTGCAACCCTCTGCGGAGATCGTGCGTGTCGAGTGCGCGAAATGCAGGCGAGAGTGCGATATGCCGGCTGCGCGCGCAACCCTCTGCGGAGATCGTGCGTGTCGAGTGCGCGAAATGCAGGCGAGAGTGCGATGTGCCGGGTGCCCGCGCAACCCTCTGCGGAGATCGTGCGTGTCGAGTGCGCGAAACGCAGGCGAGAGTGCGATTTGCCGGCTGCCCGCGCAACCCTTTGCGGAGATCGTGCGTGTCGAGTGCGCGAAATGCAGGCGAGAGTGCGATTTGTCCGGTCCGCGCGCAACCCTCTGCGGAGATCGTGCGTGTCGAGCGCGCGAAACGCAGGCGAGAGTGCGATTTGGTACGCAACTCTAGTACGCAGAGTAGCTGGGGAGCTGGAAGCTGAGAACTGGCGACGTGGTTGTGCGAGAGTAGTACGCGGAGTAGCTGGGGAGCGGGAAGATGAGAACTGGCTGGAGTATCTGGGGAGCTGGGAGTACGCGGAGTAGCTGGGGAGCTGGAAGCTGAGAACTGGTGACTTTGTAGTACAACTTTAGTACGCGGAGTATCTGGGGAGCTGGAAGCTGAGAACTGGTGACTTTGTAGTACAACTTTAGTACGCGGAGTATCTGGGGAGCTGGAAGATGAGAACTGGCGACTTTGTAGTACAACTTTAGTACGCGGAGTATCTGGGGAGCTGGAAGCTGAGAACTGGCGACTTTGTAGTACAACTTTAGTACGCGGAGTATCTGCGGAGCTGGAAGATGAGAACTGGCGACTTTGTAGTACAACTTTAGTACGCGGAGTATCTGGGGAGCTGGAAGATGAGAACTGGCGACTTTGTGGTACAACTTTATTTAGTACACGGAGCAATCTGTGGAGCTGGAAGCTGAGAACTGGCGACTTTGTAGTACAACTTTAGTACGCGGAGTATCTGGGGAGCTGGAAGCTGAGAACTGGCGACTTTGTCGTGCAACTTTAGTACGCGGAGTATCTGGGGAGCTGGAAGATGAGAACTGGCGACTTTGTAGTACAACTTTAGTACGCGGAGTAATCTGTGGAGCTGGAAGCTGGGAAGTGGCGACTTGGTAGTACAACTTGAGCACGCGGAGTCTCTGGGGAGCTGGAAGATGAGAACTGGCAACTTTCTAGTACAACTTTAGTACACGGAGCAATCTGTGGAGCTGGAAGCTGGGAACTGGCGACTTTGTAATACAACTTTAGTACGCAGAGTATCTGGGGAGCTGGAGGATGAGAACTGGCGAAGTTGTCGTACAACTTTAGTACGCGGAGTATATGGGGAGCTGGAAGATGAGAACTGGTGACTTTGTAGTACAACTGTAGTACGTGGAGCAGTCTGTGGAGCTGGAACCTGAGAACTGGCGACTTTGTAGTACAACTTTAGTACGCGGAGTATCTGGAGAGCTGGAAGATGAGAACTGGCGACTTTGTAGTACAACTTCAGTACGCGGAGTATCTGGGGAGCTGGAAGATGAGAACTGGCGACTTT